ATGATAAACGTGAAGTTTTGCGTGACGTGACGTCGCATTATACTTTGTCGGTAACGTAAAGTTGTCGTAGCGACGCATTCAAGACTACAAAATTTTAAATATTTCTGCCCATAATATTTGAATGGCTTAACATAAAATCATTACGAAAGTGTTCAGAGAAAGATATTCAAATTTTTTCAACAGTTTCGAGTACACATTAGGTTATTTCTTAAAGAAATGGAACTTTTTTGGTATTTAAAATTGGCTTTCACTTTCAAATTTCATTTGCACTTTAATAAGTAAATTTTTCTGAGATAATTGTAAAATATATGATCGATATTGAATGCTGGTCATTGGGGCTATTTATAACTTATATGTCATAAATAGCCTCAGGGTCGGATTAAGCCCCTCTGGTGCCCTAAGCTCTGAAGACTTTGGTGCCACCTCATGTGTAATTTAATTATAAAAACAATAAACCACATAAGTGTATTACCCATTAAAAATAATCACAACCAACAGTATATAAAACAACTTTTACGAACATTTTTAGGTTTTTTAACTGTTATATATATAGCCGATATGATATATCGGCAAACACGCAATATCGGGCCGATATATCGGTTGAGCTCTAATCCTGAGGGAGTGTGACAATGAAGATTCATGCCTCCAGTCTCAACGTGAATCGAAATACCAAAGAATACAAGTCACAACTGTAGTTTGAAATTTTACCGGTACCTAGTAGTCTACCCTCAGGGTGGTTCAAGGTTGGCTAGGTTGAAGGACCGCAAAAACTTTTGACCAGGACTCGCGCGCCGCAAGTCGGAGAAAACCCAAAAGTGATCGAAATATCGCGAGTTTACTCACTTTAAATTTAATAAACAACGAGAGTTTACCGTTCTAATCATACTATTATTATGTTGCATGGGTGGCGTTCTTTTAAAGAAGATATATAAAGCCTTCAGTCATCTTAAAGTTAATTCCCGAGAATTACCGTTGTATTTTGCGCATCTCGCGTTCAATGTCGCTTCAAATTATATTCTTTCGTGACAGATATTACTTGAAATCAAACCGGACACTGTGTGATAGGCGAGGAAATACGTTTCCGCCGTGTTTTCCTTATGTCACCTTTCTTGCGACACTCATTTTTTTACGAATTGTTATATTGAGTAATTTAAAAACTTGCAGCGTGAACAAGCTTAGTGCCATCGTCAAATACCAACCAAGTCCGTCTAAGTTGGTATTTCGGGACCTAGCTAAAAAAAACTGGATTGCACGGCTTTAAGTCGGCTCTGCGTTTCGGCGCTACTGTCACATGGCCGACGCTTGAAAAACAAAGGAGTATTTTTACTAAAATAAAGGCACAAAGCGATAGAAAAAGGGTTTGAATCTCGGGATCCCAACCCCAGCTGGAATAGCTGAAAAAACTCAAAAACGTTCCTCCATTAGATACAAATAGGCTATACGCTAAAATTGTTCTGTGAGCCGCACGGAATGTATCAGCATGACAGGGTTTGGACCACCCTGGTATACCTTATCAAAAAACTCGCTCGTGGAACCGCTACATAGTGTAAACAGTAGTGGGAATCAGCCGGTTCGCACCGGTTCTATAGAACCGTTTCACGGAATTTCATGAGATCAGCGAACCGGTTAGCATTACTGGTTACTGTTAATGATTTTTTGTAACAGAACCGGGCGAAAAATATGACTTTTGTGATGGAACTGCCTGACAAAAACTTGAATTCCAACACTGAATGTAAATAGTTTATTGGTCCAATTGTTGAAGAGAAAAGAAATTTTTTTTAAAACAAAAATGAAGCAACAAGAAGAATACTAGAAAGAAAAAAACAACAACAAATTAAGAAAACGACTCATAGACCCATTTCGTGTCCAATAAAGAAGTTTCAGTGTTCATTTTTAATAAAGAAGGTTAATATGATACTTGAAAACAAAAAATAAGCGAACATTTTGAAGTTTGAATCGTCTGGTGAACTCGTAATATTTTAATAAACACCGATAAACTATATAAAATTCTGCTCTAAAATTTCTGTGGTGCCCCTCTTTGCTTGGTGCCCTAAGCACGTGCTTATATTGTTTAATGGTTAATCCGGCGCTAAATAGCCCCGATGACCAGCTTCCATATAATGTGAAACTTATTCGAATATACATTGTGGTTTTTAAGATATAAGAGTATAATTTCTCTGTTTGTTACACGAGGCGCAAGCGGGAAAGCCGGCTTGCAGAGGCAGAGAGCGTTCTCAGGCAAGCCGGAAAACCGACTCACAGGATTCAAGCCGTTAAAGTAGTTGAGTTTCTTCAAATTTAGACAAAATATTCTCCGTAAAAAAATCTCTTGCGTTTTTGAAGCAAAATGCTGATGCGTAACATCCATAATTAGAGGAAAGTAGCTACCTTCCTCTTGCGTTTTTTAATTGTTAAACCAATTTTCTTTCATTTACATGTACAAGCTTGTTCAATTGTACAATCTGTTTTCGTGTTATTCTGGTGCTATTTGGTCACTGTATTGTCATTCAGCAGAAACCTTTATTGAAAGAATAACTTGCATGAGGTGCTTTGCAATTATCTTTTCATGTTCCCGAATTAGCTGCCTTTTTGTGGATATCCTTGAAAATATGTGCTATTATACGAGTCAATGCGTAATAATGGTGCCATGTTTTACTGTTTGTAAAAAACTTGTGCTTTGTTTCATTTCGAAGACAAAATTTCGTATATGCTCAGCCATAGTGGTGAATAAATAATACTACCAGAGTCCGTATTAACGGTTCTTATAAGATATATATAAGTCTTGCAGATCCATAAGTCATAGAAGCACAGACATTAACAAATAGGACGTGTCAGAGATTTATACAAATAGCGTGCGACTACGTATAACACAATATTGGAATCCATTCGATTTGGAACAGATGTGGGAAATTGACGGTTATCGAGCTTTATCCAGGCTGCGAATTAAGTGTCATCTAAAGATGTTTTTGCTGGTGGGGTAATGGGATGTTCATGTCTTCGCTCTATATACTCTAAGTCTCCAACCATAACCTAATTATAAACAAACAGTAAGTCTACATTTATGCGCTGTCAAAGAGTAAGGCAGTATAGCTTTTTAAATATTGTTTTGTTTAAATTACTTAGGATAGCACATAGCAATGAAGTCTTACGTATGACTGCAGGCGGCAAAGTCGCCACTTCCGCTAAAAAGGCTCGACGGCGTGGCGCAACGTGCTAAGCGTTAGGAATACGCTCGGTTTCCTCCACCATCAAGACCATACCATCTGAAAAAATACCTGGCTGACTAATCCCATACCCGACATGAACTGGTAACCGGACGAGTTGTGGTTCGCCATATGATTAAACTGTCTTGTCGGCTTCCCTCTCTCCGGGATCAATATGTAAATCCTGTATCCTAACATTTATCCCAAATTCCTAGTCATAGTTTAACGACAGACCTTGCTCTGTTATCTGGATTTCACGTTTAATAAATTAAAACAAGTATAATTTTCAGAATGTATTCATTGCTAAGTTACCTATTACTATTGTAGAAGTTTCATAATAATGAATTTTATTCATCTTTACAAGTTCTCGTTAATTTCCGAACTATCGAGGAGCTGATATATTGACTGTTTCATTATTTACGATTAGGTATGAGGGTTTCGTGCTCTCTCTTCATGTGTATTCGATTCATACATTGTAGGCCTACAATGGTTGTGGAAATATATAAAATTGTTCGGTGTCTTTTTTCGGTATAGAAACGCAGTCTGTTTCAATTCCTTACCGCATCACATTCTGCTCAAAATGTCGTGCAAACCACACAATAGGCGTATCAGGTTGCGGGTTGCTGCGGCTAATATCCGACTTAGAATGCAATGAATATGACCTGACACGCGGCACCATCTCAGCAGAAAGTCTTTTATTGTTATCATAGTGGAGCATTGGTTTGATGCCAACTCCTACCAAGCACGTAAACAATCAAATTATAATTCCTAGGGTTCTGATTTCATAATTTAATCAGGTTATGAAAATTGGTACTCATTTCGCGCGTAGCGTGTATTTATTTATTGAAAGCGTGGCTAATTACTGAATTTGGTCGTCAGAAGCTTTGTCAATAAAATATCTGTCGATGACAAGCTAGCAAATAAAGACGTTTTGAAGTCTGATGAGCCATTAGTACAATTCAATGATCTAATATTAATCCCAGGTGTCTCGTATAACGCTTCAGAAAACAGAAGTAGACATATTTACATAATTGTAAAGCCAACATTAGTCTGTAGCCTGCGCAGGTCGTATTTTCGCAGCATGCTTGCTGTTATAAACATCCAGTTCGCCCGGAATTCAGGTTGTCGAGGTTCTCGCATCGATTTGGTGGTTGTATTTGAATTCCGCAAGGACCATAACGGTAGAAGTAGTCGGTGAAGGTAATTTATTGCAGAATTGCTTCTTTGAAACTGAGTATCGATCGCGCGCTATCTCAAAATTAGAATTCGTACGACGGACCAACCCGTCAGTAAGAGTTTTTTGTAACTCTATAAGAAAGCATAATACTGTACACAGGCTAGTTCACGGAGATATCAATGTGACGTTATTTTTTAGCCAAGCTTGTTTGTAATTTCTACGCGGAAAACGGAAGTTCGTTAATTCATTCTAATCATTCAATATCTATTTTCGAGTATGGGCCACAAACATATAGGCGCGAGCCATGTATGGATCACACCTGTTATCGTTTTACTTCTTTGTGTAATAATCTAGATGGAATATGACAGAGGAAAAAAAAGTCGTTTTGAGAGAAAAACATGATTCTATTTTGCTATATGGTCAGCACGGGAATAGTTTCGAGTTTATTTTTAGATCTGTAAAGCAGTGCGCAATGCTCAGTTTCTCCTTTCTGCCGTCGTATAAACATGGTTATGCAGCTGGTGATACTCAAATGTCCTTTTATAGTCGGAACTATATAGAGTTATTCTATTCCTTTGCGCTTGTAGTGTTCAGCTGTTTTTTAAGCTCGCCTATGAACATTGGGAGTATATACTGTAATGTTTATTATTGTTTTATAGCATAATTTTAAAATATCACTTGTAGTAACGTATCCGCACTAACGATATTCTGATTTGATACTTGGTGGAACAAAATGTCGACAACAGATCTGGCTGCAAAACAGAAAAACAGGTAAGATATTGGAAACAATAAATACGGTAATACTACTATGAAAACAGCGATAGTTTCTTAATTCATGCTTTCAACCTTACGTACAAAAATTTGTTGGTAAGCGAGGGAGATTGGCCAATTTCTCTTGAAAATTTAAAAAATTGGTTCTTTTAAATTTGCCTATACAGACCACAAACCGTCACCAAATAAGAGGAAAATAAGAATTCACAAAAACTCTAATTTATGATAAGCTTTAATTAATGCTATAGAGATTGGCTGAATGCTCGCATTTCTTTCAGAGACTATGACTACATTTTCAAAATTGTTATTGTCGGCGACTCGGGTGTCGGAAAAAGTCAACTTTTGTCGCGATTTGCTCGGAACGAGTTTTCATTAGAATGCCGAAATACCATCGGAGTTGAATTCGCCACCAAAGTTATGGAAGTTGACGGAAGACTCATATGTGCTCAGGTGTGGGACACAGCAGGACAAGAACGATATAGGTATGATTGGTAGTTGATGTCTTCTTCAAAATAAATTAAGTGATTTTTGATACTTCACATTTTATTATGTTGTTCCAGAGTGGTCTATATAAATAGATGTTATACGTCAGTTTTAACGTATGTATTGTGTTTTTAAAATAAGACGGGAGAAATGGTTGCTTCAAACAATAATTTTCTTAGTGTGGCGTGTTACTTGGATTTACAAAGATCCTCGTTCTTTCAGGCGTCTTTAGTCGACGTGTAATTTCTACCTGTACCTGTATCATATATTTTAGTACTTTGAAAAAACTGACTCTAGAAGCAGGGAAATCGAAACCGCATCATGAATCGAAAACTTCATTTGATTCGACGTAAATTCCATGACGTGTAATCGCAACGCGTAGAGTGATAGGCTGGGAATTTTTTATAGTTGCTAATTAACTTTTTCACTGTGACTCTTTACCCTCTGTTCTGAAGCGACTAGTAGATATCGAGATCACTATATTTATGGTTCATCACATTCTATGCCATTTGTTTTATCCATTGTGAGGAGGTTAGTGGTAAATATTAGAAATTCTTCTTTTGAATACCGACCGACGGTGTATGGAAAGTTACAGAATTTGAATTTCCCACAGTTCAGTCTATACGTAACGGTTTCGATATTGCAAATGGTAAGGAAGCATTTTTTTTTCCAGTCATGCTTGGATAATTGTATATTGCTTGGGAAATAGTTATATATATAATCCGTATGGATAAATAATATCATTTGTTGTTCAAAATATTGACATGTGATCGTTTCCGTTTTGGGTCCTGAAATCGTCGACGTCATTTATATTCTTATCGACGCCAGTTATATGGTGTTATATATGAAATACAACTATTGATATGTAATGTTTTTGTGCCATATATAAAGCCGCCTCTGGCAAAATGTGCATCAACAACCGCATTTCGTTGTCATCTCCTCGCGTCAAGTTGAGTCATGTGATATTAATTAGCATTATATGCCAAAGCGAGAAATTCCTCACGCAAGTGACGTCAACCACGTGCATATGACGTCGTCTACAGCAAAACAGAGCGTATTCATATTTTATCATATTTTATCATATTTTTGAAGTATGACCGAGTGTTGATTAATCTAGATTAGAATTTACAATTGCTCAAACGTTTTCAGCCATAAATATATCAAATAACCCGGAACTAGTTATTTTACATTTACTATAGACTATATAAAAACTCAAAAGCAAATGATTGTGCATAAATGTAACAATCTGATATACTTCCATTATGAATATGAACAATAATTTACCCTGGAGTGGAAACGGCAAAATACGAAACCATCATTGTTTTAATGTGGTCATTAATCGGAGTACATATGGTATGTATGACCAATTGAATTTTATTTCAGCATTAGTACAACTGCGTGAACGTATTATATTGCATAATCCTGCACAAATTTCTTTTCACGCAATTCAATTTTGGTCACACAAGTTCAGTCTGAACTATTGTGGAAGAAAATAATTTTGTTATGTTGTGGGATTGGGCCACAAGACTTCAAAGGCATCGATGTTAATTTCTTTTTAAACATTTCGCGGCATTTTAACATACTTAATTAAATTTAATCAATATTTTGATCGTCAAACTTAGTGCTCGTTTTAGAAAAATTACATTTTCTGGTGGTTTTAGCACAATTCAGAGCAGACAGACCATTTTTGGAATAATATACGAAACTGTTCTAGATTGAATTTATATTTGGAGCGGGATTTTCCAGTTTGATTGGATTGTATGATAGCGTATAGCTCACAGCCATAGTTTTCCGTATGCAACCCAATAGTTTTCCGAAAATATTTCGCAGAGTCAAATTTTGGCTTCTGATCCGACATATGATGAATGCACTTGCAAAATCTGGAGCAGATTCAATCTCGCTTTCGTGAGATATCGCGTACATCTAACAGACAAACAGACAAATACCTATCAACATACTTACCGATTAAAATCGATAAGTAATAAATGATATTCTAACACTGTTCCTATGATGGTTTGTTTGATTTCTGAATATCATTGTCTTGACGCAATTTTAGTAAGCCTTCATTTTTTGACCATTTTCGGCAAATCCTGAGATCTCGATTGTTGTGATTGTGACCGTTCAATTTTGATTACCCATTTACTGCAGTGCATTCGCAACAAACGAATTATTCAAGCACTGAGGCCTATGCGATGGAAATTCAAAATAAGTCCATTTTGTCTCGCGATGTTGTCCAGCGATGAACCCTACGGGCCAGTAAACAAAGTCGCTTTCTGTATATTGTTTGTCAGAGCTTGTCAACTTACTCGAAGTGAAATTAAGAAGACAGCAACGACAGGTCTTGACAATTGTCAATTAAATTGTGACATCGGTGGACATTTCAAGATCGATACACGAGTCAAAATCAGTTGCCCAAGAAAATAAATTTGCCATATTTCATCTCTTTGAAATCTGAGAAAAACTTAAATATGAATACGTTCATCCCGGACTTTATTAAAGCCTTTTCTTTATTATAGGTATGACCATATGTCATGTTTTGCTGGAAATTAGCGTGAAAAATGATTCCACGTGTAATGGACACCGAGGGATTTGACTAAAATTTTAAATTGGGTTCAATTGTTGTGATTTTAGGTGCGCGACATCTGCTTCTCTGACAACTTATTGCTATTAAATTGTTTGTTGAGCAGATTCTATTCTCTTTTTGTTCAATACAAACCAGTTCAGTAAACTAAAATAATGTAGTTATTGTCGTTTCCAGTCACAATTGAACTGTTGACAGGAAAACAGCTTGTCTAGAATCTTTCTTCATATTTCGCTTCAATATTGAACATTTAAAATTTTGATTTTGTATATATCAGTGAAGTAACGATAAATATCGAGTTGAACCTCGTAGCTGAATTTCGACTGCGCACTGACCCAATTTCCGTGATGAATAAGCAATTTCGATTATTTGAACTGTCGCCCTGAATATCGATTCAGTCATTTGCATCAATCAGTTGCACTAAAATCTTTTGACCTCGTAGCGCATACTACAACATATTGACTATGCTAAATGTACAGCCATATTTAGCATTCCTAAATTTACTCCACCTTTTTTACTCTAATAGACCGAGTAGTGCATAGAACATATTCTGATTCATACTTCGTCATCTATGAGTAATAGGACATTTTACTAATTGTAAACTTTCAACCAGATAGGGGAAGCAATTATACTTATAATTCTACTACACAGAACTGACGTTTAATAATGTACCGAGTAACCATTTTAAGTGGAATTAATATTGGGATGAGACTTTAATATACCAGACGATCTATATGTTTTTATTTTCTCATTTTATGTTGGTTATTAATGGCAGTTTGGTTACTCGAGGAACAATCTGGGGGATAATTCCATTGTCTTCGAAACTAACTATACTGTTTGGCATTCGAGTGTTAAGCATAGTGAAAGTTTTTTATTGAATTGCGTCACGGATGGCCTCGGTGTAATCTCCCAAGAGAGATTAGGGCATTATATATTCAAATATAATTGCATTTACCGTCCGAATTTCAGATAAAAACGCAGAAGTAGGATACTCTTCATAAATTTGGAATAATTTTCCTGATAAGTGTATTTCGTAAATTTCTGCTGATACGTTATTCCATATTCAGAAAAGACTGCATCGCAAAGTTTACACGGATAATATAAAACGAATAAAATTGTAAGAGCAATTGAAATAAGTTTTTTTTTCGTTTTAAGTTACAAATTGTTGTTGCATATGAAGGCGAATTGACTATATTTTATCCGAAATACCTAAATATAACGACATTTGAAGTGATTTATTTCGATAAAATCGATGACATATTTTTTTAATTTTATTAAGAAATCGCTGTTTGCGTTGTGCAATTTGTATGTATTACATTCATACACAATTCATGCCAAACGACCTATTATTGTCGGGTGCGATTTAAAGAGGTGCAATTCTTGATTTTTTGATAACACGTCGATAAAAATTGCAAAGATCACATTCTTCCAGTGATTGTTGCCAATAGAGAATATTGAACTATTCGACACATTAGCACGGAATTAAGGTCATATATGCATGAATGTAATGAATGTTTCCCCGATCATCGATTTCCCTGTTTATTTCTGTACTAATGGCCAATCAGCAACGAAAGTTAACGATGATGTAACAATGCCAATTTGTGCCGTCGCTCAGACACGTTTTTTCGCTCAGACAGATATTCAAGCATGGTTGTAAACATTGGCTCGTTATTGCGGTAATTTGTCAGTTTTGAGTTGTGTTTCAAAAATTAGTTGCAAATCAAATAATTTAGTTGTCAATATGTTCTTCGAAGAGCTCTAGTTTAGTCGCAATAATCAAAATTTTGTCCGAAAAAGCTGCGATAGACTAGGCTAAAATTAGCTACCTGTAAGCGGCACATGGTTGAATATTTTAACAAAAATGATGATTTTGAACATGCAAACCAGTTTGTAAACGTCCACTATCCCAGACACTCCTAAAACAAGTAATAAAATTTTGCAATAGTAAAGTATAGGGTGAATTTTTCTGGGGTCAAGGGTCATGGAAACATTAGTATTGAAGTCAATTTTTATTGGTTATAAGTAACGGTAATACTATTACAAGAAACAAATTGGTACTGATTAATATCTAAGATATGACATGAGATAAGTCCTTCCAAATTCAGAAGAGGTACAAATTTTGATAGATATGGCAGGCAACGGGGAGTTGTTCAGACATTCAGTAGTAAATACAAAATGCAATATATTTAAAATAAACCTAGATTTTTAGAGTTAGTAGTCCCTCTTGCTATTTTTATGTCAAATTTTAATATACTCTTTTTGATGACTAAATTAATTCAAAATAAATTAACTGTGGTTTGTTCAATTCTTTGGCCGCAATGCATTTATTCCTTTACTCCCGTTTATTTTCCATTATTAAACGTGGCGAATAAATTAACTGATGGAAACCTTTTAAAAACGAAGTCATATTTGTTTTGAAGTCTTTGGAATGTGCCAACAGATCATAGAAGATTGACAACCACTGTACTAATGTATTAAAATGAAACCAGCAAGATTCAGCTAGTCAAGTTCAATTGTTAAAGTAAAAGCTCAAAATTCGCGAGCAAACAGATTGTCTACTTCAAAGAAATCATGGTTTAAGTTAAAAAATAATTGGATGTTTACGTTCTTTTTCATCCTCACAATACTGAAATGTATATATTCATTCAATGTTGAGTCACCAATGGGTCAAATTTATGCAACATGATTTAACATTATTGGATGCGACCCAGTATGGAGAATAGGCGACTCTAGTTGCATACAAACTTTAAAATATTCAGCGTATGGAATGAATGTCAATTATATCGATTGGAGCCTTTTAGTCAAAATGTGGCATCGACATGTCGAACATTAAACTAGATTATTCATATATATAAGATTTATTGTTTGAATGAACCATTTGCTTCTCTATGGGTTCGTTCGATAAATACATATTATATATATAAATAAAACTCTCGATATCAAACTGTGAAAATATTACTATCAAAAATGAAATCAATTTATTTTGTAGAAAACTTGCCACATGTTTGGTATAAAAATACCGTTTCTGTTGAATCACAGAGTATTAAGAATCAAACGCTTGACAATCTTGCGTTATAATGCAGTGGAGCGGTATTAAAGTCTGATAATAGGCGCATTAACGTTCCACGGTCATTGGTCGTGGAACGACTTTGCGATCGATACTAGGCTTAAGTACAACAAAGGTTTTAGCGATTTTCCAAAGACCTCGTAGCCCAGCCGTTTATCGTGCATTTCGGATGATTAGATAGTTAAATTTCTGTGTTCTTTTCTTCCCTCTTCACGCAAATTAAGTATGTGACTGCGATTCGTATAGATTTTCTGTTAGATTTTTTATATGAATCACTGCCCATGGGCTTCAAAGCTGTAATCGAGCATGTGTCACACATACCCATTTTCTATTTTGTATGTTCGTATTGGTAGTAGTAATAATGTTGTTAGAAAAGATTGAGCACCGGTCATAAAAATTATTCTTGGGAAACTCAATACTGCAGGAAAATGGTGATAAATTTCACCGATTATTATCGATTCCGAGGTCAACTGAGAAAATTTTTATATTTTTCGAATAGTTGTTATTTCTATTTATATTTATAAAGTTGAATAATTGAAAGAATGGTCTAACAATATACTTTAATTTAATTTTCAGAGCAATTACTGGAGCCTATTATCGGGGAGCCGTTGGTGCCATGATTGTGTATGACATAGCAAAGCTTTCTACATATGACAGTGTTCCAAAATGGTTAGAAGAGGTCAAGCGTTATACAAATAGTGGTGGATCCAAACCCTCTTTCGTCAACACTGGTTCCGGCCTTGACAACCCAGCACTCAAACACGAATCTAACGACGCTTCAGCAATTACCACAATGTTGGTCGGGAATAAATTAGATCTGCGGCATTTGCGATCGGTGCCAACTGTAGATGCACAGAAGTGGTCTCGTGGTGAGCGTGTTTTCTTCACTGAGACATCCGCTCTTGATGCCACAAATGTCGAAAAAGCATTTACAATGATTGTAAGAGAGATCTATGATCAAGTGCGGCAAAGAGAATTACAACAAGTCGTCAATAGTGGCGCTGGACTTGAATGCGGTTCCCAAGCACTGAAAGTTGGTAAATCAGCAACTCCAGTCAACACCACTACGGTGAAAGATCACCAGCCAAATTCTAAGGTTCGAAAGGCGTCTATGATTGCAAATGAATGTAAAGAGGAAGTTAAAGGCTGGTGTAACACATTCTGCTGTTGATCTTTTGCCTCGAAATACATATTATTCAGTTATTGTTGCAGAATTCCATCAATGACTCCTAACGTCGAATACGAGTTTTTGAAACAACAGCCCTGATCTACTACATCAATCAATGTTCAACAGTTTTACAACTGAATAGAATGCCGCACCTTTAATTTTGAGTATAAAGCAATATCTGGGACTAAATCTAAAATCGTGAACTTTTGTAGTATACCATGCATGTGGACCCTATTTTTTCAAGCCTGAACAAAAGATGAGCTCAACCGGCACAAGCTTTTAGCTATTACACACACATTTCTTTTTTTAAAGCCTCTATACATATATCATTCTGAAACGTTTTATTATGTATTTTATGTCAAGGATTTATCATCCGCGGTGCCACCGTATCATTTTCTGTTTTCTTATTTTTACTTTTGTATGTTTTGTCGTCATTATAATTTTCATTCTTCCATATGAAATGTTTTCACTACATTGTTCACTGTGATATTATTTTCTTAATTCATAACACACAATCATCAATTTACTAATTCACTTTTGCCCGGACGTGGGTCCTCAGGTTTAGTCCTGCATCCATACATGATAACACTATATATTTATTGTTTCCATTCATTTTTTGTAACATTATCGTCTATCATTCCATGACTTTTCAATAAAATTGTTGCTACTAAGTTGTATTTCGTACATGTGTCGTATTCGTACGATATATATATACATATGTTCATGGTGTAAAAAGGCTTGCCACGAAAATATCGGTATAATATAGCAATATAAGTTAACGTTATGTAACGTTTTGGTGTAACTATTAACATGAGTTAGAAGTGTATTTTCAATCACAGGCTAATTTTTCTGCTCTACAGCATGAATCCAACTAAAGTTTGCATCGTTACAAACATTTTTGCCAAAGCTCGATTCAATTTGAGCTGAAACCCACGAACGTTGATTGAGCATTATTGCGGATCTTGTGCTAAGTGGTATGAATATATTAAATTTTGAAAATATGAAGGACATTTCACTGATGTTTTATAGAGCTTTGTAAATATACCAGAAATCTAACCTTTTTGACTTCTCACAATATTCAAAAATAAATTATAGCAAGATGAACAAACGATTCATGGATAAGCAACCATTTCAACGGATCATTAAATTTAAATATACACTCCAAAAATAAATCATACTGCAGCTGCTTTGAACAAAAATTGATGAGGAACAATGATATATATTTTGTGTGAAAAGCTCAAACCATAAAACAGACAAGAATATTCTTTATTTTGTAGTTGGCCGGCTTTTTAAATGATTTTCCATAGAAGTGGGTACCCGTGGCTAATATTAGAGTCGGAGCCAGAATCAAATTTTTCAATTCGACGTCGCAGTATTCTAAATCTAAATGTCGGGCACCCAGATCAAAAAAAGTTTTGATGGTTTTTAAATATTTATAAAGGTGACCGTACATTTGAACCCATGTACATTTGAACCCATGCGTATATCCACGGGTTCAATCTATATGCAGGTGCTAAAACCCATGGGTTAGGGTTAGTATGGGTTTAACTATCCGTGAAACAAAAAAAACTCCATAGGTGCAATAGCATACAGGTGCAATTGTCATGGGTTCAAATGTACGTGGGTTCAAATGTAATGGAACCATTTATAAATATATTCACCACAAAGGCCACAGCTTGAATGAATGATCATAATTTGGTAAACTTTGCACGAATCGGATTCAAATTTTTGTCAACCAACATCTACATAATAATATATATATATATATATATACTTTACGGAAATGAAACACAGAAAGTTTTAGTACAGTCCCCTTGACGTGTATAACACCTTTTATTTCAATTATATTTTGTAAAAGAGATTACTAAACGCGTTGGCAAATATGTACGACGAATTACAGCTTGAAAGTACCTTGTTGTCACGTGGTCGACCATGTGAATCCCCTGATACACGACTACTGAAGTAATGTCTAGGTAAAGTATTGAACGGAAGTTTTGAAAGGGATATTTCATTAAATCGCATGGTACAGCTATTTTACTTTAACAAACAGCAAATCTTCAAACCGTTACTTTTTGATTTGAGGGATATATGTTTCTCGATTCCGGTCCAGTAGCAAAGATAATACTTTTCATTTCACAGTTTGGCGATAGGGACGATCAAAGTCAACACAAAAGATAATAATCAGAATAAAAAGAATTTGGAAATTTGGGTTCCACATTCATTGCTACAATTTTCGTCAGCGTCTCTCTCCGCTAACGGTCGCAAAAATCGCTTCAGAATTTGTCGAACAGTCCGCGCAGACCTGCAAGAAATATAAAACCTTGGCCATCAGAGCTTGATACATGCGCAATAAGAACCGACAATTGCACGTAGATGGCCGGAACAGTCACGCCAAAATCACGAAACATGCTTCAGACTATAAAATATACTAACAATTTAAAGTCTGATATAAACTCATTCTATACGGCCGCAGTAAACAGCTTGACGGGGCACATGTGGCCCGCGGAGAAACCTTGGCCTAGGGCCTCACATTGTATAGATTTGGCCATGGCGGGACGAAAAAGACCTGACATCCACGAAGACACCTGGTAACCTTTGGAGTATTTATTTGGCCTGTTAGTGTAAACCTATCTATTTCTCGATGTTTGCCGATTAACCTGGCGCTTTCATAAAGCAATACCGAACATTTGCGGATGTGAGATTGGTTGATTCAATTCGGTCATTACACCAGACCATCATGGTCCATATTAAAAAACACAAATAAATCAATACAGGAAAACACAAAAATAGCCTAGCACTATTACATTATTAATTATTTTGTCATCGACGATGGAACTAACTGGACTGAAACCATTAAGTTTTTTTTATTATTATCTTCCAAGTTCTTCGATCTCATTATAGCAGAATATTACGATTCGGAATTTGACATCAGCGGCTCACTGATTACCCAAAGTGGATCGACAGCCCCGCTGCCCAAAAATCTCTCATCTAATCCGATAGAACAAGAATAATAGTACGAAGTTTTCCTTATTTTAGTTCTATTACGAGTTCGAGGACTGTCTGTGTTAGCCAAGTGGATATACCACCTGCCCATAGGTTTCAGTCCCTTTACACAACTCGATGTAAAATATGCGACAAAAATAGTTACCTCCATATTGGTACACATATTGCTGGAATGTGCCGATTGTTGTCGTCGCTAGAAGACTATTACTTTATTTATTCCTAAATTGCGTTGAGATATGATATTTCATCCAAAATTTTGCCGTTTCATTTTTATTCACGAGAACACGGCTTTTATTCCACAAATCGTGGCAGCCTACGCCAAGGCAGTTCGATTTAGCAAATCTGTGCTAGCTGAACGCAAGTTTTTTGGAGGGGTGGGTAGACAACGGGGGTTTAGTTTAGTAACACAGGTACTTCTAGTGGGCGTGGCGTAACGATTTTTGCATATATTATCCCGGACTATATCATCTAAAAATCACGTCACAAACACGTCTATACGAGAAAGATAGCTAGCTGCCTTTGTTAGTGAGTTCGTTGTTGTAGGACGGACCATTATGGGCAACCGTCGCTGTACTTTGTTAAGCCCTATTACGTTATTGTGACGTAAATTTAGATGACGCAGGCAGGATGGACATATGCAAAAATTGTTACACTACGCTCCTTATACATGGTTGTGGACGTGGATACGTGGTATTAAAACACAATTGAATAGATCACCGGTGTTAGAGCCGTTCCATAAGTCCAGCTTGGTTCAGGATTAGGTTTTGGGTAAATTATTTTGTTGTGGGCTTCGTGTCGATATATTTGAACATTGGTTCTGATTTGTCTCCAGTTTTACATAGTGTGCGTTACGAACACAGTCAACATTTGGGATACTTGGAAGTAAGAGTCTGAGCGTCACACCTTTTCAGTCAATTGGCGGGATGTAATCAGTATTCTGCCCATTGAGGTGTAATGATTCTGCCACATCCCCACAAAAATGCTTCGAGCAAAACATCAACCACGTACATGAGAAACAAAAATTTTTCTCCAGAATCATTGAAACCAACCGACAGATCATTTGATACCTGATATATATATTGAATTGTTCCGACTTTATATAAAAAAATAAACAAATATCACACAAGTACATAAAGATAATAAATAATTTCTTGGAGCTAATTGGAGAAATAGGTTATCACTCTGATGTTGACTGAATTGTGGATGATTTAGTTAACATTTGAATTATCGAGATTGCATCAGCCAGCTGAATATGCCACTTGTCACCTGCACAACTGCAACTCTGGATGATATAAAAACTTTGTTGTAAGCAACTAGATAGGGCATATTCATTCATATAACAAATAAACTCGATACTGATTATCCTGTTAAAACTCATTTCTAACCAAAGTATAAATAAAATTTAGTCATGTTAACACAGAAATATTTTAATATAAAAAATACTCATAAGTCAAAACACAGGATGGTAAATTACAAATGTATACCTAGTTCAGAAGAATTGTGAGCGACAAATTATGAAACAGTTTAAATGAAAACTCCCTGCATCATTTACAAAGACAGTTGTTTCCGAAATAGGGGTCACCAAACTTTTTTGACCGAGGGCCGGACAAATATTTTTGTCAATGCAATACATTCACAAAAGTTTGAAAATCCATTCAATTTATTTAACAATATAAACTCGACTTTTCTGAAGTCTTAAATATTATATTCTATATTGCAGAATATAGATCAAGAACATCATAGCAAAACAAATTTTTCTAGAAAAAACACTTCACCATTTTTTCGTGTTATTGTGGGCCAGATAAAAAAGTCGCTGTGGGCCGCAGTTTGGTGGCCCGTTTTAAGAAATAGACTGTACTTTATGAGCTTTGGGGTGTTTTCACACATCACAAACGAGGCTCTGCACAGGCAGTCACCGACTAAATATGAGGCTACATTAAGACATGGGCGAGTTGAACCTAAGATTCTTTACCTGCGAAATTGATTCAACATGGGGGTCCATTTGAGTAAGTCTAATTAAGTAGAATTATGCATATAATGACAGTAGAGGATAATAAAAACTTGCTTCCAAACACTGCCTTGGTTTCATAAATTTTTGAGAACTTCAAGCTTTTGGTCTAAAGTGATACAAAATATTAACTCTTTGGAAAAAGGTATCAAGCATATGAATGGAAATTAAAATCAATACATACTGTTATTGAAAAAATGTCATAAAATAGGCATCTAACTAAAATAGAAAAGTTAGAAGTTAAATCACAGCCATTAATCAGTAACATTGATGCATCTCAGCCAAATACTGGCAACTGATGTGATAAGTGTTATTATAATGTAAAGTCATTTAGCTAAGAAATAAATATCCTGAAAAATCCTACCATAGAAGTAAAAATTCATCCCCGATTTTTTTAAGCAGAGAAGAGGTGTGGTTCGTTCTGCCCATAACTGGCCAACATAATTATACCAACGGTACAGCTCTTTCAAATTATTAGAAATGGATTATCGATAGGGAAAATAAAGATGAAAATGAGGATGCATAATTAGCCTACAGACAATTAAATTTTAGTTTAAAACAAATACAGAATAGACCATAATAAATAATACTAGGTAGATAAAAAAGAAGCATCAGGAAAAAGGAAATATCAGTATCTAATTTAGAGATATAGAAACATAATGGTTTCATGATTTTCATTCACCTATTCGATTGGCATAATTAAAATTTGATATTTACAATACACAATTAAGTAATTATCTAAAGAAATAAAACAAACATTCTAAACTGTGAGAAGAAGACCATAGCTGTGCATTAATTAATACTAATAATTGGAGTCTATCTAAAATTAGGAAAAGGCCCTTATCATGTTGTTGGGATGGTTTTAGCCCATTTCATATCATCATCCCGTGGCTTATACCCAGTACATTTCTCTATTAGATACTCTAATGTTGTCCAAAAGCCAATCTTCTCAAGTGGGTAGTTCAACCATCCAGTGGTTATACAGAAATATCTATAAAAACAACGGTTAGTTTTATTACTGCTGATTAATTAATAACTAGCAAAATGTGGTGTTTACTGAAAAGCTACCTCAAAAACTAGGGACATGTCAGGAATTTCAAATGGGGGGTCTGAAATTTCTAATCGCCAAGTTAGACTGAAACAGCTAGCAGGTCCGACCAAAGCTACTCCCAAAGTATGTGAAACAAGGAGGCGGACACCGGAGCCCAGTATGTGTACCAGGTTAGGGTTAGGTCATAATTTTATTCCAATTTTCCTTATTTTAGTTCTATTACGAGTTCAGGGACTAGCCAAGTGACTCCCTTAGTATTTGTACCATAAAACTATGGCCTAATGTGGTACACATACTATGTTCCGGTGTCCGCCATCTTGGTTCACATACTTCGGGAGTACTGGAAAATGTGGGTTCTTATGAGTCTTGAGGGTCTGAAAAGCAACTCAAGACACAAAAAATTGCTATGTATGATACAGAAAAATGTAATTTGTTTTAGATTAAAAAAAATGGCTATGTTTGTCATTCTTGTAACTTGTTCCTGCTTTAAGTACATCTTTAAAATTCTACTGAGTTTGAATAATTGATTAAACCTGGTTTAACTTATAGGATTGTTGAATAAAAACCTTTTACAACAATTCCTAGATTAATACTATTTTCAGTTGCTCAATAACAGACTTATTTGAAAACAGAGCAGAAGAATCAACCTTTGAACCCTGCTAATGTTTTATTCATACACCGACATTGTGATACTTGATTTCACAAGTGAGATTAGAAGCACTTGGGATTTTTGTACTTTGGTTCTTGCGATAAGTAATAGCCAACAGCCCATGCTTGATCAAGATCTTAATCTCAGAACACAATGTTTACTCGGTAAATAAAACACAAGAGCAATAATAGTTGTACAAATAAAGTGTATGCTTTTGCTATCCATCAGCTCAAAGGTGTGTACAATATAATATAAATTCATGAGTTAAAACACGTTTCAAACTCAAGTCGAGTCACAAATGGTATTGCGAAACAAACAAACTGGGTATGCTGGCTTTTTAATAATTTTTCAACTGCTCATATATCTACATATCAAGTGAAATCAAAAAATTATATTGATATTTGGTACTCAGCGAAATAGGGACATAACATTTTCAAACAACAAAATTTTTCTTTAAAAATCTAAAATATCATAGATGACAGACAAAAACAATGTATCCCAAATAACAACTAATGTAATGGAGTTATTCCAGGGAAGCGAAGAAATTTTAAAAATGGTAGAGATGGCATGAGACAAAAGAGAGATGGAAGCAAAGCAACTGATGAGCACTTGGTGAGTCCCAATCTTTTGATCTCAGTGCCTCCCAAATGCCTTTTCTGGCTCATTTTGTTAATAAACTCAACTCAAATATATTTATCATGTTAATCTATAACAAAAAATGATGATTTGTGTTTAATTTTGGCTTCCCTTCAAAAAAAAAGTGCCTGCAATTACAAAGAATATATTTTTTGTTATCGCAACAAAAAAAATTAATCGCATTTTTTTATCAATAAACTAGGTAACTTGCTTAGTATTGGAGATATGAATAAAAGATAATGACTATCCCCAGTAATCCCCAGGCTTGCAACTACAACTTTTATTGCTTTCATCTAAAGCCCTGTACTCTTCAATTTGGTCAAAATAGTTAAATAGTGTACAAAATATATAGGGCCTTCGGGAAGGCCCTTTTGTCTACAATGTTTATAAAAGATTTACGACATTATCGAGTGGTAACAGTCTGCTCCAATCACATTTCAATCGTTGTAAATCTATAGAAATTTGCAAAACAGTAAAAAAAGTGCCTCGATTAATAGTGTGCCCCCATACTCGAGATTTTTGAAAAATATGTAACAAATTTCATAAGTGACGAAAAGTTCCTATTTTCAATATTTGAGCAGACTAACAAAAACTATGTATGTGTATTAGTTGTTTAGTGTCTGCAAAAAACCTTTAATGAACTATTCAAAGCTGAAAAGCTAGAAAGTTCAACTACTATATGTACTGTGAGAATTTATTGCAAAAATGACCTAAATTAGGGCCTTAGAAGCCTTCCTTTTACAGTCGATATATCATTAACACCCACTTTAACCCAGAAATGGCCAATAGAGGAGTTTTAATCCATTTCAGTACCACTGGGCTAGTATTTGGCACATTAGCTTAACGATGTTGGCTTTACAACAAAAAGATCAGATTCAATAATGATGACAACCTACCCTGTATTTAATAAATTGAGCATGCTATGCCAACTAGAATATTACGATTTTTCATAGAATAAAATATTACTGTTAATGCCTTGTTCAATGAGAGGATATAAAATAGTTGAGAAAAAGAACATAGCCTACAGTCTGAGCCTGTGTAGACGAAATAACAATGACTCTTATTATCTGTAGTCATGCTGAAAACAATTTCCAATAAGTACACCCTTTTTGCATATCATCTCGTTTAAAATCATTTCAATAAGAAAAAACTACTTACGTCTCATGAGGAGAAACATGATGTATCCGATGATGTTGTCTTGGCAGAATAATATGGTAATTTTGTAAAATTTCCACCCAGTTGGGAAGCCCAAAATATGTATGAGACCATTTGTGGATTTGATTTGTCAGAGTAACAAACAGTGCAAGGAAAAAGATATAGCATGACCACCAGTAATTTTCAAGAATAAAAGCTGAAATATAAAATGAAATTAAAAAACCATAAACAGAATCAGGTCTTCATTCTGATATTCTAAATCAGCGGTTCCCAAAGTGAGCAAAAACGACCACCTGTGGGCGTTTTCGATAACAGTACGTACAAGCGCTGAAGAGAAATTGGGCAATTGGGAAGCGCTGGCTGCCAGATTGGGCAATTGTGAACTTCTTGAGAGGTGTATCTCATTACAATGCGATATTGAACTCCAACCAAAGTTCAATGCTTCATATTAATCATTCTGAATCAAATCAAAATACCAGGTGCAGGATCGGTTAAAAAGTTTTAAATTAGACTAGTGATAAATGGAGAATAAATTTATTTCAAAATTTTAGTTATGGGCGTTTGCTCATCAAAAAGTAGTCTCCAGAGGGGGGAGCTGCAAGAAAAAAGTTTGGGAAAAACTGTTTTAAATGATGCTCACCACAGGAATAAACTTTTACGAGATATATTGCACATTCCAAAATAATTAACACAAAATCAAATTCATGGTATTTAAAGATTTAACCAAATGCTATGAACTATGAACAATTTTGATATCAGCATCTTTAGATCCAGGATCAGGATTCAAATAAATTAAAACCCAGTACCTGTAATACTTGATATTTATTGACTGACACGAATAAAAAATGTATGACCATACCTGTTAGGCCAATTTAAACTCAATAAACCAGATAATCAATGAATAATCATTTACATTTACAGTGATCAATATTTTCCAGTGATCCGTGACTAATTGATTTGCATCGTAGTACCATACAAAAGCAGTGCTTCAAAAGCATCTTGTACAATGTTCTACCCAAGAAATGGGTGCTCAAGGCAATATTTAAAACAGAAAATATTCTAGAATTCAATCCTGAAATATGAACTCACTCTCAGGTTTTGTCATAAAATCTTTCGTCATGGTGCCCAGAGCAAGAATTGTCAAGGCACAATTATCACCATTGGTCTCTATCCAGTCATGGCGAGTAATTCCAGTTGGATCAATGTGATGTTCACGAAAAGGTCGAATGAAAGCACGGCCAAATATTGGAATATCAACAGATCCCCATGTATCAGCACCCCAATGTACTAGACCTGACATGAAGTCTGCCGATAAAATACCAGCAACTGAAAAATAGCACAAACATATTTGAAAATATAAATTATATAGGCATAGCTAGATATTTCAAAAAGCAGGTACAAAGGTGAATTAAAATAAACTTGGTTAAAAACTGTTCTTGTTCAAAGCCTAACACTTGTTTGTATGAGCAGAACAAATACATGAAAAGTGTGTGTTCAATTAATACCCTCTCAGTTGGTTTGCTGTTTTACTTGGGTATGAACATAGGAAATTTTTACTTGGAAGAGTACATTTCATACTAACTAACTAACAGCATCACAGATGAACAGGAAAAATTGCGCAGACTCAGATCACAGGTGGTGCTACTTTCAAATTTAGACGTTTGAGAGTTTTTAAAGAATTTGTAATGAATTATGTTAATCTTTTTATGAATAAACAACAATCCAGAAAAGGTTAGAGCACAAAACCAGCTACCATACTAAATGAACAATGAAAATTCAATACTTGAGCACAACTTACATGATGAAAGAATTATAATATGAAGACTGTCAATTCGAAAATAAAAAACAAGATATACGAGGTTGACTGACATCAATATTCCACAAAGTATGACACAAACCCATTCTTGAAATCTTTTCTCTAAAAAAATAGCAAAATTTGGTTAGAAAACAATATATCAATTTAGTGTAGTTTCACAAATCATGCTTAGTTATTTATTATTACTGTGATACATATTTATGAAAACAAGCTATTCAAATTGTACAAAAGCCAGAGTGCAGGTTGCCCATAACACTAGTTAATTATTATTAAGTATTGAATAACAAACGAACAGTTTTTTCATGTACGGTGAGGGAGGAATAATAGTTCCAAAATAGGCAAAAGTTGGGAACCACTGCAGTATATTAAAAGTATAAATAAAATCATATAATGAGATTAATCATTATCTTTACATTCACCTGGAGTGTACATTTCACTCAAAGCCTTTGCAGCTATCTGTTTTGAATATCGTCGATCTTTTATTCCATCAGGTAAAGTCGGACCTTCATCGTTGTCCATTTTGTCAGTATTATTTTCTATTGAGTAGATATACAGCGTATACAGCGTCACTTCTATCCCTATGCTTCAGTCTTCAAAAACAACAGTTTCCTCCAAGTTTTCTTTGATTAAATAACTGCATATTAATTTAACATTAGTATCAATTATTTCACCACTGCTATTTAAATATTTCAACTTGTAATGGTAACCAGACAAACTGAGTATAGGATGAAGGTACTAAAAGGAGACTGCCTGACTGTGGACTCGAATAAAAAATCCCCTTCATACTGTCATAAGGAATCAACGTGCGACTTGATCTGCTGATCAGAACAGCAAAATAACAGTGGGGCACAGTTCTTAGATTCCAAAATGTCCCAACATTTGGTTCAATAAAATAAACACTCAATTTGTCTCTGGAATAAGGGCACCTGCCGTCTGGCACAACCGCAGATGCTTCAGATCGCTCATGCTTGGCTTGACAATAAACTGAATAAATCGTGATGTGTGCCGGCCGTCACAATCATGACCAAAATTGTGTTTTTTCAAACTAACTCTTTCAAACTCTTGAACGCTACGGTAAAAATTTTTTTTTATATTTTTTACTATTGCGTTTAAAAATTAAATTGTTTGAGCCGATGGCTGAATTTCAATTGTTACCACAGACTGTCAGACCAACTTTAGGATAATACTGTAATACGTTATTGTCGAGGTAAAAACAAGAAAGTTGATGCTCGAGGAAACATCCTTTCTGCAATGTTCTCTTTTGTCTGCTCCTCTGGTCTGTCTGGTTGTCATACTTCTGTACTCGTTATTTTACACAGCATTTCAAATAATTTTTTCATATTTTATTGTATCGTAGTCTAGATGTTCAGCTCTTTCTATCTTAGGACAGACAAAATTTCTGTAAGCGTCCGCAGATGCTGAGATGTGTGTTGATACATTTTCACGAATTAGGTGCATTCCGACTGTTACAATTTTTCTAGCTCATCACTGGATCTAACACACAATACCCAAGTGATAAACTTAAGGTGGTACCTAATTAGGCTACATAGCCTAGTAACAAAAATTATTTGCCACACCATATTATTTATTTTAATATTTTTTAGATAGATAGATTTTATTTCGATTTATTCGCAAAAAACAAAACAATACACAAAAAAGAGAAAAGCGAAGAATCTGGAAAGTCAACACAAAACATAAAAATAAGTTTATAACGTATTGAACGAGTTCACCCACCGAAGAGGAAGAAAAACAAATCACAACAAACATAAACATGGATACAAACAGACAAACGTATTCACGTATTAATCCTACCTAACATACTTCTAGCGGGCGTAGCACAACAATTTTTTTATGTGTCAATCCTAACCCCCACCTGACTATGCCATCCAAACATTACGTCTCTACGACGTCACAGTGACGTAATAGAGACCTTCAAACTATACGAACTGTCATCCAAGACGCGCACGTCTGCGCACCCGAAATCGAATGGCTATTTCTCTCGTTTTTACGTCGCGACTATCCCAATATGAGAGAGATCACTGACGTTAGTAAGTTCTTTATCGTCGGCGCAGATGCCATTTCGGGCGATAGTACGTATATTTAGGATAGGATAGGATTTACATATTTATCCCGGGGGAGAGGAAAGCCGATAAGACGGCTTATCCATATGGCGAACCACGGCCTCTCGTCCGGTTACCATTCCAAGTCGGGTATGGGATTAGTTTTTACTGTATTGTTTGTTTTCGGAAGCATGGACTTGGTGGTGGAGGAAGCCGTAACCGACCAGCGGTTACGTGAACCACCCAACGACGGCGAGGAGTCCAGCAATCCTCTCGCACATAACCATCCCTACATGGGATTCGAACCTGCGAACCCACGCAGAGTAATTAGAGGTGCGGTAGCGAGCGTATTCCTAACGCTTAGCCCGTTGAGCCACACCGCCGCGCCACCGCTTTAACAAGCTCCTTGACGTGATTGTGATGTCGTAGTGACGTAATTTTTAGATGGCATAGTCTGGTGGGGGTTAGGATTGACATGTCAAAAAATATCGAAAAATTGTTATGCTAAGCCCACTAAAAGTACGTTAGGTACGAAACTACATGAGACCCGCTTATTTCATATACCCAAACTTAACTGCGAACCTCGCACAGTCTGACAGTTGCAGAAAAACGGTAACGTTAAAAGCAATTGCCTGAATTGTAGACTTTTTCTTCTATGTGAAGATAAAAATAATGAAAATTGACATGAGGTAAGTTACGGCACGTCTATTTTTTACATGCAAGATTCATTCACTCATTTTATTTCGGTTCTCTGACATAAACATCCCCCGGGATAAAATATGTAAATCCTACCGGTATCCTAAACAATACAAAAAGTAAACACTAAAACAGACAAACAAAATGCAGAAATACCGTAATTAATTCGCTTGCTCACTCGTTGTTAATTACCCTTCACCTGTGAATCCTATGGATAATAATGGTCTTATCAGCTTCTATTTTTTTGATATACCGGTACTTACGAAAAACTGTTCTATTACAGTCACTTTGATTATTGGCGCGGCGGTGTGGCTCATCGTGCTAAGCGTTAGGAATACGCTCGCCACCGCACCTCTAAGGTTCGAATCCCATGTGGGATGGTTATGTGCCAGAGGATTGCTGGACTCCTCGCCGCCGTTGAGTGGTTCACGTAACCGCTGGTCGGTTACGGCTTCCTCTACCATCAAGTCCATGCTTCGGGAAAACAAATACCTAACTAATCCCATACCCGACATGGAATGGTAACCGGACGAGAGGACGTGGTTCGCCATAGGGCTAAGCCGTCAAATCGGCTTTCCTCTCCCCGGGATAAATATGTAAATCTTACCCTTATTATAGTAAAGCAAGAGCTCTTCTACTGCTTTAACAGTGTACTATACCAGTAGCGGCGCGTCAATAGGGCCAACCGGGGCAATGCCCCGGTTGTTTTTTCGGTATAATAAAAAATATTCGAAAAATACCTCAATATCGGTTGCATTCACGCATTCCTTCTCGTTCGTTGGTTGCTTGAAGAGTTGATAGTTTCCTCGCCTTCGTTTTTGTCGCTTGTTTCGCTATTTGAATCAGTTAGAGACCTTTAGTCCATTTGCTTTCGATTTTCCACATTCCTTTTGAGCTCCTCACTTCTTTCCGGCTTCGCATTTCTTAGCCCTAGACCTCATAATGAATAAGGTTGATGCATTACTTCGCACTCCGTTTTCGCAGCTGCCACTGGAACAAAAATTAGAGGTACAACGTCTTGGGCCTTATCAACCAAAAAATTGTTCACTGGAACAATCCCATGACGGAGGAAAGCGTCGGCGTACATTCTGCGCAGAAACTTTCTATAAAAAACACGAATGGTTGTGTTACAGCGAGGACAAAAATGCACTTTTTTGTTTTTATTGCCTACTTTTTGCTACCGCCCGTGACTCACGTTGTTGTAAATTTGGTTTTAGAGATCTTAAACATCTTTCCGAGCGTGCCAGGGATCATCAATCTTCAATGGAGCATCTGGACAATGCAGTAAAATACCGAACATTCGGAAATGTTAATATTGCAGCACAGTTGGATGAAGGACGCGCGGTTTCTATTCGTCGGCACAACCAAAACGTCGAGAAAAACCGCCATGTTCTCGGTCGATTGATAGATGTTTTGAAGTTCATTGGTTGTCACGAGCTGTCCCTCCGTGGGCACGATGAACGGGCTGGCTCTTCTAATAGAGGGGTATTTTTGGATATGGTGGAATACACCGCATCCCTAGATACAGTATTGAGAGATCATCTTGATGCCGCAACTGTTTCGAAAGGGACATCTAAGGATATCCAAAATGATTTGCTCGACTCAATGTATAAAATTTATTTACAACATTTGGCTCTGGAAATTGAGAATTGCCAGTTCCTTTCGATTCAGTCTGACGAGACAACTGACATCACGTGCGTTTCCCAACTGGCTGTGATTTTTCGGTTTGTGAAAGATGGTAAACCTACCGAGAGATTTCACAGCTTTGTACCAATCGTTGATCGCACGGCTTGCGGGATATCGGCTGTACTGAAAGAAGTGTTACAGCCTTACAACGCGAAGTCAAAATTGATAGCTCAAACTTATGACGGCCGGGCAGTCATGGGTGGGTCGAAACATGGTGTTCAAGTTTATATAAAAGAAGATTTTCCTCATGCGCATTTTTTACATTGTTATGCACACCAATTTAACCTCGTTATTAAGAATATGTGTCTTGATACCCCTCTCGTCCGTATATTTTTTGCAAATGTTCCGGGGTTTTCTTCATTTTTTTTCGTTTCGCCGAAGCGCTCTGACCTCCTTCGCCAGATATGTAGCCGCCGTCTCCCAGCTTATGCTCCAACACGTTGGAACTTCCAATCACGCGTGGTGCAGGGCGTGTCCGAAATTAGGTCTGAGCTCATTGAGTGTTTCAATGGCATTCAGAGCTCTCCGGTTTGGGACCAACGCTCTGTGAGGGAGGCGGCAGGTCTAAAGCGTCTGCTAGAAGATGATGAGTTTTCATTTTTTCTCGCTTTTTTCTCCACAATATTCTATCACGTGGATGTATTATACGGCGCATTGTAGTCAAGGCTAATGGATGGAGCGTCTGTGCAGTCGTGTATTTCAGACTTCTGCGATGCTGTATCTCGTATCCGGGAAACAATAAAATACGACGACACATGGAGTGCTTCTTTACGCCGCGGGCAAACAACGCAGCGTTTGATTTTGTCTGTGAATCAAATAGGCGATCGTCTGCGCACTGAACACCTTGCCGCGTTCTCTTTGATGAACCCCAAAACCATTCGTTGGCTACTGTATCCAAATTTTACCCCATGATAAACGTGGGTAAATTGGAAAATGAATTGCGATATATATACACCAATCAAACTTTTTTGAACATCACATCAACTTGCGCGCTCTATGGGTTCCTCATAGATAACACTCTAGTAACTACCTTTGCGGCGTCTGCAAAATTTCTGGACATCATTTTGACGACGCCTATTTCTTCCGCCGACGCAGAGCGAACATTCAGCACGCTGAAGCGTATTAACACGTATCTCAGAAACACAATGAAGCAAGATAGATTAAATTCCTTGGCTGTTTTATCCATTCACAGAGACGTTATTTCTGGGATGCATGACTTTAATCAGCGCGTTATTGAGCATTTTGCTTCCAAGAAACCGCGGCGTGTTGCATATATGTTCAAGCAGTAGAAGTCTAGCAGCATATATATCTATGAGTGAGCGACGCATGTCCTTATCTTTGCATTAACTTTCCTTTCTTCATAGTAACGTTTTAAACCTTATTTTAGGTTTTGTCTGCTTTCCCGAAGTTTCTGTTAATATGTCATTGTATTTATCTGGGTAAATATTGCCTTTCCTTTTGAAAGAGGTTTCAAAATAAACTATGTCTATATTTATCAATCCCTTGACTTGGACCGGTTTTAAGGACACTTTCTTATCGTTAAAAATTGTCGCTTTTGCCGATTGGTTGTTACCGATGGAATGGTTTTTATACTCATAAAATGATGGGAGAACTTACAGCGCTCATCCTGTCCCCGTAGATGGGGGTGACTTGGTCCCGCAGTAGCTTGCCCCGGTTGTCAAAATGACCACGCGCCGCCACTGCCAGTAGCGCTAGTGCTCCGCGTAAATGTGAGAGCGGGACCATATATTTACGGTGGGACCCATTTGGCATACCAAAAAACGAAGGAAATTGAGTAAAAATGTACCGACGAATTCTAGCACCTTAAACAGACCGAATATACACTAGTTTATATATATTTGGCCGAATCGCTTGGATATTGTTTATGAAGAAAGTATGTAAATAGGTTTATTTCGAATTCGCGCAGAACGCAGACGAGGAAGAACTTGTGAAAACATTAAAGTAACCAAGATAAACGGCAAATTTTCGCTTACCATTGCCTTTTTATAGCGACATGCTATGCTTTTTGACAAAATAAAGAAAGCGTTGTTTTAGCTCAGTGCTCTTCAACAGGGGTTCCGCGGAATCCTAGGGTTCCG